ACTACTACTACTACTACTCTACTACGACTACTACTGCTGCTACTACTACTACTACTACTACTACTTCTACTATACTCTTACTACTACCACTACTACCACTACTACTGCCACTACTCCTCCTACTACTACTACTACTACCACTACTCCTACTACTACTGTACTCTCCCCGCAACTATTAATAACTACTACTACTACTACTACCACTACTACTACTACTACTACTACCACTGCTATTGCTTTTCCTACTACTACTCCTCCTCCTCCTACTACTACTACTACTACTACTACTATTACCACCGCTACCACGACTACGACCTACGACCTACGAGTACGACTACTACTGCTACTACCACTGGCGCTACCACTACCTCCACCACTACCACTAGCATCACGACGACTACTAGTATTTCTACTAGTAGTACAACTAGTACTACTACGACGACGACGACTACTACTACTACTACCACCACTACCACCACTTCCACTACTATGACTGCTACTACTACTACTACTACTACTACTACTTCTTGTACTACTGCTTTATTACTACTGCTACTACTTCCTACTACCCTCTCATTACTTGAAGATTATCAGGTTGTTACTTTCATTACCAACTGCTTTCTACCTACTGCCTACTGCCTGCTGCTATTGGGACTGCAACTGCTGTTGGTGATGCTACTACTATTACTACTCCTACGCCTACTCCTACTCCTGCTCCTACTACGACGACTGCGACTACGACTACGACGACGACTACTACTACCACCACCATTACGACGACGACGACGACTACTTCTACCACTAGTACTACGGCTACCGCTCCCTGCTCTTTGCTCCCTGCTACCTGCTCCTGCTGCTGCTGCTGCTGCTGCTCGTGCTATCTACTACTCCTGCTGTTGCTGCTAATACTGCAGATACTGCTGCTGCTGCTGGTGCTGCTACTAGAGCTACCACTGCCACTACCGGAATCTTACCACCACCACCACCACCACCACCACCACCACCACCACCACAACACTGCGAAGATGGCGAGAACTGCTGCCAGCACTGAAAGAACTTGCGACGACCACAGAGGTCGATTACAAACACTTAGTTCGCATTGCACCTCGTCAAAACGCAGGAGCCACCTGAAGGGCCGTCAGCTGCCTCAGAGGAGGCGAAGCGGGGTTATGCCGGCCCAATAGTCTCTAAGAGTGAGAGTGTGGAGCTGAGGGTGAAGACCGCTGACATGGGTCAGAGAGTGCTCTCCACTGTTGCGCCAGTTGGGTCGCACTGGACCTTCTCAAAATGCCGAGCCACCAGTGTTTGCAGCAAATCGAAGGTGTGGAGTGCTGACATAGTCCAGACATTAGTGAGGAAGATCGTTCAGTCTCAGACTTCAGCTGGGTTTTCCTTGGTGATGTTGGTCCAAATTGACAACTTTTGGATCGTGTCGTTGGTATATGGATTCACTGGGCAGCAAAAAATCGAGGTGTCAGCAGAATGTGAAATCCGTCACCCAGGGTCATCGGACCTCGAACCAGCACAGTCCAAGCGCTGTGCATGGCTGTGCCAATGCGCCCTGACAGGCTGCATGCACAGATTAAGACATCATCGTGTGGTGGATGACTCTGACCCAGATTTATCCTCCAGGTGGTCATGATGTTGGTAGCATTCCTTGAGAGGGACATCCCCACAAAGGTGCCCAGATACGTTGCAATCGTACTGCACACAGAGTGAGAGCAATCCCAAGCCTTATCACAGTGATGTGCAGCAGCCAAATCAACAGGTTGGTATGGCGGAGCAGGAAGCCCCAGTCGAACTCACTGCCGAGGAGAAGGCTTGAAGTTTGCGTATTTAATCTGTTCTATTCTTGGACCCGTTGTTCTCTGCATGGCTTTCAGCCTCCATGGTATTCGGCGCTTGGACCATGGATGTGTTGCATGATGGGAGCTAAGCTGAAAGCCTTCGCCATGCATGACCGATGATTTATTCTTGATGTAGAGCTGCGATAGAGTCCTGATGTAGCTGACCTTCTGAAAGGTTTGGTCGACAAGCCGGCATGTTGCTATATACCTCTATAGGCAAACGCTATGGTAGAGTGACAGCTATAGATAAAGTGGCGTCACAACCAATCTTGATCGAATCATTATTGGTGGTGGTGGTGGTGGTGGCAGTAGCCGTAGTCGTAGCCATAGTCGTAGCCGTAGCCGTGGAGTAGTAGTAGTCGTCGTCGTAGTCGTAGTCGTAGTCGTAGTCGTAGTAGTAGTAGTAGTAGTAGTAGGGGTAGTGGTAGTAGCGCTAGTAGTAGTAGTAGTAGTAGTAGTAGTAATAATAGAGTAGTC